AAAATTGACAAATTTTAACCGTTATTGGCAAAAGAGTTAACCGTAAAAAACATTTATGGTGACAACAATGGAAAGATATTAACTGTTAGCCGTGAAAGCCATGGCAACACCCCTTTGCGACCCTCTAGATACTTAGAGAGGTATCCTCTCCCATTTAAAAAATTTTCTCAACTCCAGATTCTAATAAATAGTACATAACCTGTGAAATATCTATGGTGTCAGTTGCATATGATAGCAAACAATCACGGTAAAAACCTTTTTGATGTCAGTTATTTACCACTGATTTAAGACGTCGTATACTTCTAGGGGGGTTTCAATGAAACAGCCAAAAATATTTAAGCGTTAAGCTAAAAATTGTAAAATTTTAACCATAAGTCGTAAAAAAATTTAACCTCAAAAAAAACAATTTCTGGTAACAACTCATGGAATGATGTTAATCGTCAGCTATAACATGGCCAAAGTTTTAACTGTTAGCCGTAAAAGCCATCACCCTATTGATACCCTCCCTCTACTATAGCGAGCCCATAATTCTGAAATGCTACTTGTTTGGCTTTGACCGTGTAACCTTCGAAAATGAAATTTCCCCCAATTTTGCTCAGGGTTAAATCAGGTAATGTTGACATCAATACTTAATTAAACGGGAAACAAGCTCATCAAGCTTGCAATTGTTAGTTATATCTCGAAGTCAAGGAAGAACTTAAGTCATATATAATTACTATCATTGAAATCATCGCTCGGTGTTAGTGCCCTCTTGTTGCAAGTTTCTCGCAGTTGTCTGAGGAAAAGAGAAAACAAAAAGGTTAAAGCAGCGCGAATTGACGTTGGGAGTTTCAGGAAATTGCCTTCCGGATGCGCGGATCTTACAACGTAACTGTATTCCAGTCCATTTCCCCCACCTCTCTCCCCTCCTCAAAAGAAATATGAAGGACTATTAAGAGGCTGTCTCTCTTATTTCCACCCGGTCAATTTTGCGTCAAAAATAATTTTTCCTGAAACTCTGTCAACAGAAAGACTTTACCTAGGAAAGAACTAAATTAGATTTGGTTTGATTCGAAATAATTTTCTGACTGCGTTAGGGGCCATAATTATTTTCCAGTCTGTAGGGACCGTAGCAACGTCTCGAAAATTGAAAAATAGGCATATTTTGTAACATTGTAAAATATTTGATTCGCATAGTTAAGCCACAGAATTTATATCAGATTGCTTAAAAACCTTTCTAGTTTGCCAAGAAAGTTAGAATTTGCCCTCTCAATATATTTGAAAAGGCGAATTTTAGCATATTCTGACCACTAGAAATCGCCATCGGCCGATGGCCGTAAATAACCTTGATTTAGACGTTAAGTTTTGGGATTTGGGACCTGGTTGACGATTCTATCCTACACAGCCGTTAAGTTTAGACCTTTATAGGTAAAAATATGCAAAAACCCCTGTACGTTTTCGATTTTTCAAAAGTTATGACCGTTTGAATCAGCACATGTACAAGCATTCGCGATTTTTTCGCCTACATCAAAATCGAACCACTGGAGCAGATTTCGTCATAAATACAGCTTACCCGCTTTGCAGCCCGGCTTCATGGCTCACTTCAGCATTTTTCTAATAAAAAAATTGGTGAAATCCATGATAACTTCAACAAATAGCTAGGTATTGCCTTCGAAAAGTAGGCGGCATCCATCGTGATTCGTGGTATCAAAACAAATGTCGGAATTGGCCACATTTCGCGGTGAATCACCCATTTAACATCACTGTAGAGCTGAATTTTTTCCAAAACCAGAATATAAACTCTCCATGTCTGGAAGCTGAGGGAGAAATGAAGGTTTTAGGCTTCTGAAGTGAAGAAATAATCGCTTAAATTTAGGTCCAGTTCGATGCTATACTGTTCTCACAAAGGTCCGCACAAAAGAGAAGACCAAGAAGAGAGCCAAGTTCAGAGCTTTTTCTCCCGGCTAGCAGCAATGCGGCGAAAAGATCAGGGTGTGATCGGGATATCGCTGGATGAGGAGGAAGATATCCAATGCGTCCAGGAAAATTCCGAGAGACAAGATCTGGTAGACAAAGTTAACAAAGAGATCAAAGTCTCACATCCAATCTGCTACGATACGTAGGACCTGTGTGAACGGTACCACAGTAACACACTTCAGAAATGCAATGTGGCTTTGTTGAGAGCCATCTGTAGTCATTTTGAGATCCCTGTAAAATTGAGTGACAAACTGTCGGACGTGATTAGTGATTAGACAAACTGTCGGACGTGATTAGTGATTTTCAATGTGTTTCTCAGTAGACTTATGTAAACAGTGTCTTATACGGTGGCTGAAAGTGTAGAATATGCTCTACAGATACAAACTACCTTTACTTCCGATATCAAGTTCTGACGGCGTTGTTATAGTGTATTATATTATAATATCTAGTAGTCAGTGAAATGTTTTGATGAAATCGATTGAAAATTTACCAAAAGCAACACTTATAACATCTGTTCATACGAAGCATGTGTCAAGTTTTTAACACGTTGGTAGCCGATTTCTCCGGCTATTGACAGGTTGTTGTTCTGTGGATACAATCGACGCGGAACCGAGAGAAGCAAGCTCAGGATATTTGAAATTGATTTATTAATTATATGATATCAAACTCTAGGTAAAAGCATTTATTCTTTTCGTCCAAAATTTTTCTCTCCAAATATTACATTGGGATACAAAACAAAACCATACGGCACAACGTACGGCACAAGCTATCAGCGGTCTTCTCTTTTGTGCGGACCTTTGTGAGAACAGTATAGCATCGAACTGGACCTAAATTTAAGCGATTATTTCTTCACTTCAGAAGCCTAAAACCTTCATTTCTCCCTCAGCTTCCAGACATGGAGAGTTTATATTCTGATTTTGGAAAAAATTCAGCTCTGCAGCGATGTTAAATGGGTGATTCACCGCGAAATGTGGCCAATTCCGACATTTGTTTTGATACCACGAATCACGATGGATGCCGCCTACTTTTCGAAGGAAATACCTAGCTATTTGTTGAAGTTATCATGGATTTCACCAATTTTGTTATTAGAAAAATGCTGAAGTGAGCCATGAAGCCGGGCTGCAAAGCGGGTAAGCTGTATTTATGACGAAATCTGCTCCAGTGGTTCGATTTTGGTGTAGGCGAAAAAATCGCGAATGCTCGTACATGTGCTGATTCAAACGGTCATAACTTTTGAAAAATCGAAAACGTACAGGGGTTTTTGCATATTTTTACCTATAAAGGTCTAAACTTAACGGCTGTGTAGGATAGAATCGTCAACCAGGTCCCAAATCCCAAAACTTAACGTCTAAATCAAGGTTATTTACGGCTATCGGCCGATGACGATTTCTAGTGGTCCGAATATGCTAAAATTCGCCTTTTCAAATATATTGAGAGGGCAAATTCTAACTTTCTTGGCAAACTAGAGAGGTTTTTAAGCAATCTGATATAAATTCTGTGGCTTAACTATGCGAATCAAATATTTTACAATGTTACAAAATATGCCTATTTTTCAATTTTCGAGACGTTGCGACGGTCCCTAAAGACTGGAAAATAATTATGGCCCCTAATGCAGTCAGAAAATTATTTCGAATCAAACCAAATCTAATTTAGTTCTTTCCTAGGTAAAGTCTTTCTGCTGACAGAGTTTCAGGAAAAATTATTTTTGACGCAAAATTGACCGGGTGGAAATAAGAGAGACAGCCTCTTAAGTATAACTATTGATTATTACTGAAAGTCAAGCCACCTCCTATCTCTGATGTCATTTGCTTGTTGCCATATTTCAGAAACTGGATTAACGCCTTCAAAGGTAAGACCAGTGATGTTGTTATTTTCGAGCAAATTACCGATCCACTCCCTCCGTTTTTATCTATGAGAACAGTTACTGATTGTTGTCTTTGATCATGCAAAATCACGCCCTCAAGAAAATGAAAAGTTCATGAGTACTATGGGTCATTTTCCACGCACAGGTAGCTTACTGTTTAAAGACAGAAGCCTTAGTTGTACTCTCGATCTGATCGATCTCGTGATGCAAATCCAACCGCTCCAAAAGGGATGAATAATGCAGCTTGACGTTTTCGGTTAAACAGAGTAAGATGTTTCATTTTTGGATGCTCAAATTCATCACTAGTTAGAAAAGTGTGACGTACCAAATAAAATGCAGTCATTTATTTTTTTTTTAATAATTATTTTTGGCTTCGATCATGCAAATCACACCCGCTAGAAAATGAAAACTTCACGAAGATAATTAGTCGATCATCACGCACATATCAATGAATTCGTCGCGATGCTGAACTTCAAAGCTTTGTGGTCTCACATACTGTTCATCATTCACGTCGGCTGAGAATAGATTCGTTTTAAGTGACATTCATCTGATAAGTAAGCTCGTTACTTGGTAATAGCCCGCTGCAACAAAATTTTAAATGATTCATGCCTTATTGCGGATTGTTAGGAAATTTTTCAGGAAGTTGTAGTAAAAGGTTATCTTTCTTGTTAGCCTAAGAATTGAACGCTTTAAACTCGAATGCATATAACTTAGTCCCAAGAGGCTTCATTGTAAATACGCTCTGACGGCCGGTACAAATCCAGATGGAAAACGAAGTATAACATTGATACTGCAGACCACTCTTTGCTGGTATTGGCAGTACAACATCATTGATTCGTCAAGATTATCAAATACTCTAATGAAGGACTAACGCTCGAAATGTCAGCTTCAGAAACTCATTACGATGGCCAATTTACATTGTCAACTCAGTTGGTAAAGCCAAATTATTTTGTAATACCCCAACAAAGTTTCTTTAGAAACTTACCCCGTTGATTAATGTTGTTTATAGAAACTACGCATGGGGAAATTTCTCATAGGAAAAGTTATGGTATTTTTTATTTTTGTCCTGTGAGTTTTAACTAATGTCGTGTTTCGCAAAAATCACAACTTAAATCAAATGAAAGGTGACATACCGAGTTTTTCAAACCATCGTTACCTCAAATCTTGGTAATCATCCTCA